AGCCGGTGTCACGTACGATTTCAGTCCGCATTAGTTGTCGGTCAGTGAGCGCTTAGGGCACGTCGATGCAGTCTCATGCACGATAATGCGTTTAGCATCACCCCGCGGGCCTCGGCAGTGCCAGTCGCATAGCCGATCAGCCAGTCTTGCACGCCAGCGGGCGGTAACGCACGCCAGCGTGCGATGTCGCACGACAGTGGGCCGCATGGTGCCAGTCACGTCGTCCAGTGCCGATGCGCACCCAGTGGCATGTTGTGGTGCATGGCAGCACCCGAACTGTGCCAGTCAGGAGACAGCCGACGCACATAGCGTACGGCCGTGCCACAAGTCATGCTGTTACGGACCTGAGTTGAGCTGGACCCGGGCGCATTCCCTTATGTGCGCCAAGGGTCAAGAAACCGGGCACTTGTGCACGTTGTCGGATAAGGGAACAAGTACATTGACGTGGGTAAAAGGTTCCGGGCTAGCTTGGCAAGGATGCTAGGTTGCAGGGCCGAGTCAATGTAGACTGAGCATGGGATCAGTCAAGTCTTTGCGGGTTGTGCATGGCCACGCAAAGACGTGCGGTCAAAGTAGCAAGGCGGTACGGCGCCTTCGCACTATGTTGGGCAGGATTAACTCTAAGCTATGTGGGTTGCTGATGCGGCTTGATGGGCGCGCGAGTGTTGGTGCGACGCTCAAACTGTTGGCGGGAACGGTTATGATTTTGAATGCCTGTTGGTTGCACGTGGATGCTGTTATCTTGTTCCACGTGGCCTAAGCGGGAAATCTTCAAGTGTGCATGGCAGAATAAATCAGATGGTCCGCGCATTGGGATCGTTATGGGGACGGTTATGCATAGTGGGCTTAGAATATGGGCAGTTTTAAAACTGCTCGACGGTTACCTGTCCTAGCGGTTGGGGATGTCAACCGCAACTTGCCTGCGGGCCTATATAAAGGCCTTGAGCTGCACAATCGCGGGTAATGAGCGATACCGCGAGTTTGTGTGCATGCCTTGGTGAATTTTTCCAGCGATAGTGAAATTGTTGGTTGGGCGTGGAGCCCGTAAATATTGTTGCCTTGTCTGTTTGCTTGATGCTTGCTGTATGCGTTGCTTGTTGGTGTATTGCTTATAACACTATTCCGACTTTATATAATCAAGTTGTGCGTTTAGTGTGAAGGAAAAAGGCTGACTGGTTAGGCGAAAAACCAAGCCGCACAGGGTATTAAGGGTGCGAAAATTTTAGCCTCTTTTGAGACTCTGTGACAAGTGGTATCAGAGCCCATTTTTGGGTTCTGAGGACTGCAAGTTGAAATGATGGGTGATCATAATCGAAGGGAAGAACTACTATTGTCCTATGGTGCTCGGATACAAAGATTGGAGGATCTGTTGGGGCCACCGCCTCAGACACCGTTGCAAGCAACCGTCTTCGAGAAATTACAAACAACAAACGATATTCTCGAGGATTTGCGGGTGACAGTGCAAGCCCTTAAAAGTTCGGTAGACTCCTTACCCGAATTTGTTGAAGGAAGGATTGATTCTATTAACGATGAAGTCAATTTGCTGTCTGATGCGGTGAGCGATAAGATTGGCAAGGTACAAGATGATATATCATTGCTGAAACGTGTTGGTGCAAATGTTCTCAATGAACAACGGCAAGGTCCACCAAAAGTCCGGGTTCCTGATCCTAAAGCCTTTGACGGTTCTCGTGATGCAAAGGAAGTTGAGAATTTCCTTTGGGATATAGAAGTATATTTCCAAGCTGCTGGAGTCCCAGATGGTCAGAAAGTTTCAATAGCGAGCATGTTCTTGGCCGGGGATGCGAAACTTTGGTGGCGGGCGCGGGTGTCTGATGATGCCAGTGCAAATCTCGAGGAGATCACTACGTGGGACACATTGAAAGGTCTGTTGAAAGATCAGTTTCTCCCGGGGAACACAGATTGGATTGCCCGTAACACGCTGCGTAACTTACGGCATACAGGTGCTGTACGGAATTATGTGACGGAATTCACTTCTGTCATGCTTGATATCTCTGAAATGTCAGAGAAGGACAAACTGTTCAACTTCATGGCCGGTCTTCAAGGCTGGGCCCAAGCGGAGTTAAGAAGGCAAGGTGTGAGCGACCTGCCATCGGCTATTGCTGCGGCAGAACGACTTGTTGATTTTAAAGTCGTGGGCGAACCTGAGTCGGGCCATAAGAAAAAGGACTCGACTAAGGAGAAAAGTGGGAAATTCAAAAAGCATAAAGATGGTGGCAAATACAAGAAGAAGGCGGGGGAAAAGAAGGAGAATAAGTCCCGAGAGTCTAAGAACCAGACTTTGGTTGTGGACCGTTCAAACCGCGGGTGCTTCTTGTGTGATGGTGACCACCGCATGCGGGATTGTCCTAAACGTGTAAATGCCAAAGCAAATGCTGTGGTGGTGCAAGGCACCACCAAGGATGCTGAGGAAGGTACCATGGGCCTTAACTCGATGCTGCTGTTAAACCAAGTTCAGAAAGTCCCTGTTGCATGTGATGGCTTGATGTACTCTAAGGTGGCCATAGGGAACAAAGATATTATGGCGTTGGTGGATTGCGGTGCTACCCACAGCTTTGTGAACGAGGAGTATGCTCGGAAGCTGTGCCTTACTGTTGAGCCTCACGAGGGAAAGATGAAAACGGTGAATGCTCAAGGTGAACCGATTAAGGGTGTGGCCCTAGTCGAGATGCAAGTTGGGCCTTGGAAAGGATTGTGTGCGTTGCACATCGTCCCTCTTGATGATTTTGCGATGATTCTCGGAATAGACTTTATGAGGAAGGCGAAAGTCTTCCCAAAACCCCACGAAGGCAAGTTGTTCTTGGTTGATGATGGGAGAGAGCAGCCTCTCGCCGTCAAGTTTTCTGTTCCAAAGAAAGATACAAGCATGGTGTCGGCCTTTCAAGTTCGCGATGGACTTAGGCATGGTCACACAACGTACCTTGCGGCTTTGATTGAGACCAAACCAGACGTATTTTATGAAGTACCAGATATTGTTGGTAAAGTGCTTGATGAATTCAAGGATACGATGCCCACTAAGTTGCCTACGGAGTTTCCTCCGCGTAGACCCTGTGACCATTGGATTGAACTGGAACCAGGTTCTCAGCCCCCTGCTCAACCTCCTTATCGGATGCCACCAGCCGAGCTGGCCGAATTGAGGAAGCAGTTGGATGAGCTGCTTGGTGCGGGATTGATACAGCCTTCAAAGGCGCCTTACGGTTCCCCAGTATTGTTCCAAAGGAAGCAAGATGGGTCGATGCGCATGTGCGTGGACTATCGGGCGTTGAACAAAGTTACCATTAAAAACAAGTATCCAATTCCAAATGCCTTGGACCTGTTTGACAAGCTGGCTCAAGCAAGGTGGTACACGAAAATTGATTTGCGTTCTGGGTACTAGCAGGTGCGTATTGCCCCGGGCGATGAGGCAAAGACCACTTGTGTGACAAGGTACGGGTCGTTTGAATTCTTGGTGATGCCCTTCGGGTTAACCAATACCCCTGCTACGTTTTGCAATTTGATGAATGATGTGCTGTACGAGTATTTGGATAAATTTGTGGTCGTATATTTGGATGACATTGTGATCTATTCTGAGACGGTTGATGAGCATGTCAAGCACTTGCGATGTGTGCTTGAGAAATTGAGGGAAAACAAGCTGTATGCTAAGAAGGAGAAATGCGAATTCTGTCGGGAGGAAATCACATTCCTTGGACACATCATCAGCCAAGGAAGTATTCGCATGGAACCTAAAAAGGTGCGGGCTGTTGCTGATTGGCCCGAACCATCCAAAGGACCGAGTTGCGCTCCTTCTTAGGGCTGGCAAACTACTACCGAAGATTCCTCAAAGGGTATTCCAAGGTAGTCAGCCCGTTGACAGATTTACTGAAGAAGGACAGGTGTTGGGAGTGGGACAAAGCTCAACAAGTTGCCTTTGATTTGCTGAAGCAAGTTGTGACCCAAGAGCCGATACTAAAGTTGGCAAAGTTCGACCAGCCATTCGAGGTACAAGTCGATGCTTCAGATCGTGCTATTGGTGGGTGTTGGTCCAAGACAAACATCCTATTGCTTTTGAGAGTCGGAAATTGAAGGATGCTGAGACCCGATACAGTACCCATGAGAAGGAAATGACGGCAGTAATTCATTGCTTGGAAATGTGGCGTCACTATCTGTTGGGAACAAGGTTCACGGTTGTTACGGACAATGTAGCCAACACTTATTTTCGAACTCAGAAGAAGTTGTCCCCAAAACAGGCCCGGTGGCAAGAATTCTTGGGGGAGTTTGATTTCGATTGGGTCCATCGGCCGGGGAAACATAATGATGTTGCTGATGCTCTAAGTCGAAAGGCTGTGGCGTCCGATGTGTTGGCCTTGTATGCTGTTGAGTCCGACTTTGTTGAGAAAGTCCGTGGTGAATCCCTTAAAGATCTTGTCTATGTAAAACTCGCCGAGCAAGTGGCAGCCGGTGAAGTGCGCAAGTACTGGCTAGAGGACGGCTTACTCTATGCCAAAGGTCGAAGGATGTATATTCCATCGGGAGGAATGAGGCGCGAGCTGCTGAAAGATTATCACGATTCTCAGTGGGCTGGCCATCCCGGTGTTGAGCGTATGTACGCTTTGATGATGCGAAAGTTTTATTGGCCGAAAATGCTTGATGACGTTGAGTCCTATGTCCGGACGTGCCTTGTTTGCCAGCAAGACAAGACCGAAAAGAAGAAAGAGGCGGGCCTGTTGCAACCCTTGCCTATTCCGGACAAGCCTTTTCAGTCACTATATTTGGATTTCATTAGCGGGTTTCCAAAGGTGAAAGGTATGGCCTCGGTGTTGGTCATTGTTGATCGATTTTCAAAGTATGGGATAATTATTGCTGCTCCAGGTGCATGCTCGGCAGACCTTGCTGCTGAGTTAGTTTTCAAGCATGTGGTGAAATATTTCGGTATGCCCGATGACATAGTGAGTGATCGTGACCCGCGCTTCACGGGACGATTCTAGACGACCATGTTAAATTTGATGGGGACCGAACTGAAGTTTTCCACGGCCTATCATCCTCAAACTGATGGCCAAACTGAACGGATGAATCAGTTGCTTGAAGAATATCTCAGGCATTATGTGACCGCAAGCCAGGATAATTGGGTGGCATTGTTGGATATGGCCCAGTTTTGTTATAATTTGCACAAGTCCTCGGCGACCGGTATGAGCCCTTTCGAGCTGGTTTATGGACAGCAACCCCAGCTACCGCATGATGTAGCGGTACAGCGGACTGGTGGGAAACGCCCCGCGGCATATCGATATGCTCGGGCGCAGCACAAACTCTTGGTAGAGGCTCGAGATAGCCTTGCTAAGGCGCAGCGAAGAATGAAGAAATATGCGGACCGCGGGCGACGGGACGTGCAATTCGCTGTCGGGGATCTCGTGTTGTTAAAAGTGAGCCCAAAAGTATGGAAAAGGATCTCGGCAAAGGCAGTCCATCGTGGACTGATTCCAAAGTACGAGGGTCCCTTTGAAATCGTGAGCAAAGTTGGGAATGTGGCCTATCGGCTTAAGCTGCCTGACCGATTGAAGGTACATCCCACATTTCATGTATCTTACTTGAAGAAGTACCATCCTGATTTTATTGAGGCAAGCCGAAATGTCTCTACTCGAGCTCCTCCAACGGTGCCGGACCATTTCACGAAGGAGATGGAGAAAATTTTGGATCATAGGACCCTTGGCCAAAGTAAGAAGAATTGGCGGACAGACTATCTTGTCCAGTGGAAGGGTGAGTCCGAGTCGGACGCTACTTGGATTCGAAATACAAAACTATGGCAATTTACTGATAAAATTGCGGAGTACGAGGCAAGAAGGATGGTGAACCCCCAGTCGACGAGGGCGTCGACGAGCTCAGGCGGGGGAAGTTTGTTACGGACCTGAGTTGAGCTGGACCCGGGCGCATTCCCTTATGTGCGCCAAGGGTCAAGAAACCGGGCACTTGTGCACGGTGTCGGATAAGGGAACAAGTACATTGACGTGGGTAAAAGGTCCCGGGCTAGCTTGGCGAGGATGCTAGGTTGCAGGGCCGAGTCAATGTAGACTGAGCATGGGATCAGTCAAGTCTTTGCGGGTTGTGCATGGCCACGCAAAGACGTGCGGGAAAAGTAGCAAGGCGGTACGGCACCTTCGCACTATGTTGGGCAGGATTAACTCTAAGCTATGCGGGTTGCTGATGCGGCTTGATGGGCGCGCAAGTGTTGGTGCGACGCTCAAACTGTTGGCGGGAACGGTTATGATTTTTAATGCCTGTTGGTTGCACGTGGATGTTGTTATCTTGTTCCATGTGGCCTAAGCGGGAAATCTTCAAGTGTGCATGGCAGAATAAATCAGATGGGCGACGCGTGTACAAGACGGTTACATTGGACACGTGGCGTGCTTATTTGATGGTCCGCGCATTGGGATCGTTATGGGGACGGTTATGCATAGTGGGCTTAGAATATGGGCAGTTTTAAAACTGCTCGACGGTTACCTGTCCTAGCGGTTGGGGATGTCAACCGCAACTTGCCTGCGGGCCTATATAAAGGCCTTGAGCTGCACAATCGCGGGTAATGAGCGATACCGCGAGTTTGTGTGCATGCCTTGGTGAATTTTTCCAGCGATAGTGAAATTGTTGGTTGGGCGTGGAGCCCGTAAATATTGTTGCCTTGTCTGTTTGCTTGATGCTTGTTGTATGCGTTGCTTGTTGGTGTATTGCTTATAACACTATTCCGACTTTATATAATCAAGTTGTGCGTTTAGTGTGAAGGAAAAAGGCTGACTGGTTAGGTGAAAAACCAGGCCGCACAGGGTATTAAGGGTGCGAAAATTTTAGCCTCTTTTGAGACTCTGTGACACATGCCCTGATGGGCCTATCGCGCGTCTGCCGTGGCCAGGTGCACATAGCACCCCAGCCATGGCCAGGGCAGGCCCGGCAGCGGCCGTGCCCACGCCCAGTTCAGCATGCAGTCGCACCACGGCCATGGCAAGGCCGTGGACCGAGTCAGCCGCCGGCCGACCGGTCCAAGTAGACCGGCAGTCTGGCCAGACCGGTTCAGACCGGTTAATACCGGTTTGACCCAAATAATATTATTTTAATCTCGGTTCGCATTTTAAATTCCATTTCAGTTAAATTTTCGGGTACAGTTCAGTTCGGTAATTTCATGTCAGTTCAGTTCCAATTTACTCAGTTCCGGTGATACCGGTTAAATCCAAACATCACGTCAAGTCCACTAGAGCATCTTAACATAATAATTTTAATCAGGCTGAGCATAGTATTTAGTAATTGTTTATGTTATTTTCAGTTTGACCAGGATTCGATATCAGCACTACCATTTTATTCAAACAGTTCAGGTGGGGACTCAGACTGGGTATTACATTGATTATAATTATTCTACCATGTTTGAGGTATGTATTATCAGTTCAGTATCCGCTCGGAATGGTCACCAATCCATTCTGGGTTCTAGTGGCCTTAGTCTGCCCACTAGAGTGTGTACCTGGTGTCCGACATTTATGCTGACAGATGTTCAGGTATCAGGCAGGTGATGATGTTATCTCACCATTAGTATTAGATCATGATTATTCAGTACCGGTTTCATGTTCATGCCAAGATCATGTTATTGTAGTTATTTCCGATGTTTACTTTAGTACGAGTTTCCACGGAGCACAGTGTATTTTAGTGCTCACGACCCACTTCTATCATGTTTTCAGGTCAGGATGTCGGACCGGAGGTGTGAGATGATGGGCGATTCAGGACTTTTGCTCATGTGATTGTAAATATATTTGATAATGCTACGTTTCCGTTGAATATGATGTTTTGACGAACTTACCTTTTGATCGGACTTTCAGATAATTAATACTCTCAGTAAACCGTAGACTTTTACTAAAGACTAAATTAACGGTTTTTCAGAATATGACATGTTTTATAGTAGCACCCCAAATCAGTTTTTGCAACTTAAAAAGATTTTATTTTAAAGGACTTTGCGAAATTACGCACTCTGATTTCACGATAAGGAGGGGTGTTTCATCTTATATCTTACCCCCAACATCAGATTTATAGGGACGGTAGACGAAGTGAATTTGAGTTGAAAAGACTTGGCCAATGGCCGAGCGCCACTTGCCGTTAGCTCACGGCCTTAAGTGGCCTTATGGTGCTTACTCACCACATGATATGGTTAGTCATATTACAAGGTACTCCTAAGGTTCCACGTGTGCTATTGGTATGAAGAAAACCTCACGTGAAACTAGCTCTCGGCCATTATGTGAAGTAAGCGCAATTTAGGCGTGATAAGCATGCTTGATGTTAGCACGCCTAATGTTTAAGTTAAGTATGATTACCTTGAAGCATGATTAACATTAAACTAATGCTTATTAATGTTAATTAATCACTATTAACAGTAAGCTAATCATGATTATCTTTAAGTTAATCATGATTAATTAGCTAAACATGGATTAAGTTAATTAAGCATGGATTAAGATAAGTAAGCAAGAGTTAACGACAATTGCTTAAGTATAAGCTAATCGTGGGCGGTGTATCAAGTGTGAACGCACTGCTGTATAGGAAACTCACCTTGACGTAAGGAACCTTAACCGAATTATATTCGGTCGGAATTTGACTTCGAAATTTATTTCGAACACTGAATTAATTAATCCCAACTTACTGATGTCCATTTATTTATATAAACGGACTAAGATTAATTACTATCCTTGTCTCGGTTAATAAATAAAATTAACCGGATAATCTTTCGATTTAACATCGAATTTAGAATTTAACTGGTCGAATAACTTAGACATGAACATTAACATTAATATTTATTAACAAAGTCTAGCTTATACTCGAAAGCTAGTATATTCCTTTATTAATAAAACTCGGGGTGTTACATAATTGATAACGAGATATCTCGATATATTATGGGGAATAATGGATATGAATATGTGTCGACACAAACAAATGAATAGTGCTATATAAATGATATTGACGAGAATGAAATCAGCTGAAATGTGAATATTGGAAACTATTGGCAGTAAGACCATTGAAATCAATTGATGATGAGAATGAGTTTGAAAATTGCACAAAACATGATATGGCATATTATCATGAATAACCATAGTTTCTGAAAATCTGAATGAATCTATATGATATTCATGAAAATTATGGAAAGGTTATTATGGTGAATATATGGAATACGCGTTGAACTCTTTTTTCCGTTGACTGAGGTTTTGTCCCATTGGGTTTTCCCAGCAAGGTTTTTAATGAGACAACAGGGATGGCGTATTCACATGAATAGTGTACCCTTTTTCCTTCATTAAGATTTTGTCCCACTGGGTTTTTCCTAATAAGGTTTTAACGAGGCATATTCATGGTATAATGAGGAGTTGAGAACTACTGGATAATTGATATGATTCCTCATGATGATGAGAAAAGATTGGAGTAGCTGTACTCTTTTTCCTTCGATCAATTTTTTTCCCACTGGGTTTTCTTGACAAGGTTTTAACGAGGCAGTACATGGATACTCCATTAAAGATGATCTATTTGAGGGGGAGCAATGTTGTGCTTCCACAATGCTCAGGTTTTGTCCCACCGGGTTTTCCTGAGGAAGAAATGCTACGATTTCAAGATGATCAGGTTTTGTCCCACCGGGTTTTCCTGATATGCTAAAGCAACAGTACCTGATGGCCACAAGATATACTTAAAGATGTGCAGATTGGGCTTTGTTCAAATAATGATTCAAATATGTTTAGAAAATAGTCATTCAAGGGGGAGTGTTATAAATATATATGGTCCACACCATTAATGTTATTATAAAATAATGTATGTGAATGACTATTTTGCCCCCGATGTAATTGTATTATTACGGTTGTGCCATCAGAAGTTTCCTATAAATAGGAGCTTCAGTTATAATGAAAATCGTACCTAAGAGAAACATTTTCTCTATTCTCTCTCTTTCCTCTAGTTTTATAACATATATATATTATTTTTTTATATGTATTTTTATACATATGTTCATTATGCATATTCAACAAAAAAAGTACATAAACCTGTTAACATTATTAATATACTTTTGTAATATAAATAATAATTAAATTATTTTTTATAATGCAAATAATAAATTAGTCTGATTATTTAAGTTAATTTGATTAACCAACAAAACAATTCAGTTATTTCGGTTCGCTCTCGGGCTGAATTTGGACAAGTAATAATAATAATAATAATAATAATAATAATAATAATAATAATAATAATAATAATAATAATAATAATAATAATTTTATGATAATAAATAACATTTTTATTTCAATTATTTAGGTTAATTTGTTGTACAATCATATCTACCAAACATATAATTTTCAAAAACACATAATCTACATGTGATCATATAACGTACTGCACTTTATATATCAGCACGACGCACCTTATAACACAACACGTTGCACATTATAAAACCACGCGTCGCACTCTATTGCTACACTGCACGATTAACGGCAACAGCTCCCGCAAAAAAATACCACAAGATATATCTCAAAAACAAATGTACATGATACTTTAACATCAATAACATCATACACTCAAAACACAAACATGTTAACGTACCAAATTTACAGTGTGTCACTTTATATATCAACATGTTGCACTTATAAAACAACATGTTGCACTTTATAATACAACATGTTGCACCTTTTCACCATATTCCTGCCAAAATATTACACAATATAAATCTAATAAACAGATCAACATAATAATGTAATATCCATCGTATCGTTTTCCACAATAAAAAAAAGAAAGAAAAAAAGCACATATATGCTAACCTACCAAAATTTAGATATTGCACTTTATATATCAGTACGTTGCACTTTACACAATAATATGTTTCACTTTTAACATATCGTGTTGCACCTTATAAAACGACACGCTGTCATACCAAAACATACAGTAATTATGATAATCAGTAATTATGATAATCGATGGAATAATATTAATTGGTTAAATGATGTATTTAGTTTTTTTTTTTTTACATACAGAATAACCGAACATGTCTAACTATATGAAAAAATATTACCGTTTATATATAAATATATATATTTTTTAATTCAAAACATAACACTATTTTTTATCTATATTTTTTATATATTGCGATTGCATATAATGACTATACATATTGCACATAATTGTCTACTGTATTGCACAAAATCAATCGAGATCCAACCAACAGAAAATAAATGAAATATTAAAATATTAATTAAGATTTGTTAATTACAAATTGCACCCATGACCTAAATTGAAATATACTAAAAATAGTGAAATTGCAAATATGCCCCTAAATCTCATCTAATTTTCAAACACTAAGTCCTCCCAAATCAAAACACACTCAGACACCATCTCCAATCGCCGCTCAAAATTCACGGCGCCGTCGACGTAGCTGCCGGCCTCGCCATGGGCCTGAGATTGTAAACCCACCGTCGCTCTGCCCGCTTCCGACTCCGCTATCATCTCCTCCGACGACCTCGATGTTGTCGGCCATCGAGCTCTGCCACCACACATCGGCCAGATGAAGATCTTCGGTTCGAGCAGCTCGTCGATGTAGATGAGATTGTCTGGTTCGTCTCCGAGGT